CTTTTTTTTTTAACTGCAGTTGTTACCTATGTGTCTCTCTCAGGGGTTCAATGACGGCTTGGAAGAGCTATGCAAGATCCAGAAAGGCTGGGCCATTCCAGATAAGGAGCAGAGAGACTACATCCGACAGTCCCAGAGGAAAATCGTCTCAGATGCTTACAGAGCCTTCCTCCACAGGTGACACACATCCACTTTATCTCCTCTGGTAATCTTTATATGGGGAACGTGATCTGTTTGAATTCAGAAAACTAAAAGGAACTAAATTGTCATGTTCCAAAATGGAAGAGCTGAGTATAGGAAAACACTAGACCCTGTTAGTCATCTCTTTGTAGAGCCAGCTTTAGCCCCGCTATCTCTCATTAGCCATATTTTATTTGACTTTATCAGGGAGGGGTTTTTTTTCCCCCGCCCCCACTCTCCTTACAACATCGCACAGCAGCCAGACTAAATCTTTTCAGACCCCACCGTGATATTTCAGTCAGGTAGAAAGGTCTACACTTTGACTGGGCCATTGCAGGACCTTCAGACTGTTGGTTTTAGTTGTTTGTGCCAAAGAACTGCATTTAGTTTTCTCCTGAAATGACGAGGATTGTGGCCTACAGAGATTCTGATATGGAACTTCTAGGTTTCTGTGATTTCCCTGACATTGCAACAACTCATGAAAGATTTGCAGCTGTTTTCTGAATGATGGACTTCAAACAGTGTGCCTTGGCACAGTGTTAAGATTCCCGAATCAGTTCCTTATGGCAGAAAATGTTTCACTCCTTTGGTTTCGCCTGCAGGTGTGCCAACATCTCCTTCACTAAGAACCCTGAGAAGTATCACAAGTATCGGCCAGAGGAGGTGGAGGAGATGATCGAGAAGCTTTTCGACACGTCGGCCTGATGTGCAGCTCGTCTCCCTCGTCCAGAAACGCGCCCTCCGCACGCCGCCTCCTCCTTTTCTGCATCTGAATGTTTTCTGTCGTATATTTATCTAACTTTGCCTCTCTAATGTCAAGTTTCTGATTAATAAACACTAAATCATCCTGCTTTATTAGTTTGTCTAATTATGTTCATTACAGATAATTAAAACAAACGAATATGGAGACGGATGACGGAAAACATGCAGATGTTGCCACTTAACGAACATTCAACAATTAGAGAAACCCCACAGAGAGATCGCCCCCTAATGAGATGAAGAGGCTGCACACAGGAAGACGTTCAGACCGTGTGTTCAGCTCCGCAGCTGTGTGCGGCGCCAACCCACTCGTTGGCGCGTTTTCCGCTAAACAGGCCGGAATAAGTTTGTAGAAGTTTAAGATTTGCTTGTTTAAAGGACAATTTCTCACAGACTAAACTGGATTTACACAACGTGCGGTACAGAGGAGTTTTTTAGGTTTAAAAAAAAAGTCTTTTTTTTTTTTTTTTTTAGTATTACCTGACCAAACATCTGTTCTATTAACGTCTTCAAATTCAACTGAAATTTGAATCTGGCCACATGGACAAGCTAAATGTCTTCAGCTGAACTATTTTATGACCAGAAAAGAAAAAAGTGTTTGACCTCTGCGCTGAGATGTACTATAAGCTCGGATGATTCAAAGGGAGACTTTTAAACACAAGCGTGCTGTTCAGCTTTTAAAGCATGGTAGTGGCAGTAGCATCCTGAGGGCTGTGTGACTGCCAGTGGTGTTGGGGCACCACATGGCGACTGCTGGAATTCATCAGCAGGTGTTCAAGTCAGATCGGGTCCACATCCAACATGCTTCTGTGCCATAAATCCAAAATCCACTTCTCTTGTTCATACAGTCGTTGATCAGCGTTAACATTTAAGATAATTGTTCTGAAATTTGTCCAAAAGCTCCACAACTGTTTACTTACAATTACAATTTTCAAAAATCTGCAGTCCTCATTTTACATTGCAGCCCAACTCGAGATGAGCTTCTGCTTTAAAAATGTGCTGAACATTATTGTCGTCACAGAGGTGACAGAGTAAGATTTCAAGCTTACAGCTTGACAGAGAGAGTGGTTTAAAAAGTGCCAAATTTAGAGTAAATGGAGGCTATAAATGAAGCATAACTCATTTGGCTCCTGAAGATCCTCGTTTGGCAGTGAGCTGAACGTTCTGCTGAATGTGTCCTCCAGGTGATGGTGACGCTGATGCAGCCCTGGAGCTTTAAAGTCTACTGAACGGTTTTTATGTCTCCCTCATGGCATTGAAATCATCCTGTGGGTCACAGTGAAGGGTGAAGATGTTGCCTCTTGTCACCAAGACAACTAGACCGCCTCGGAATCGGCAGGTTTCCATAGTAACAAAGCAATGCTGATCGATCCCGGTTGCTTGGTTCCTTGCTGTCAGGGTTTCATTAAAAAGGTGAAGACGGTGGAACAAAAGATCAAGTCTTTCTCTAAATAACATAATTTAGTCCGAATTTAGACCTTCAGCTGGAAAATACAATTGCCACAGCCTAGAAGACATACGATGTATGGAGAATGCTTCATTTTCTTATTTCTAAAGCAAATGCTGTTCTTAAAAAGTATACAATTTGAGTAAAAGAAAAGTGTAAAAAAAAAAAAAAGCAGTGTTCAATTATGATTTTATGCTGTTGAGAGAAAAGACACCCAACCTGTCGCTATGTGAGAAACTAATTAGCCCATAATCAGACTACAAAAACTCTGATTAATAATTTATTTTATTCATATCAATTAGGCCTGATTATTGTCTGAACTGTATAAACAAGTACCTGGCTGACAATGTAGCTCTTGGGCTAAAAGATCTACAAAAAAGCAACATGTCTGGAGAGAGTTAGAAAACCTTTTTCTAAGGCTCTTGGACACAAATGAACAAAAATGAAAGCCATTATTCATGAATAGAGAACATCTGAAACTGACAAATCTTCCCAGCAGTGCTTGGCTTACCGAAACATCTGTGGAAGATGTATCCAGGAGTCTCTAAAGTGGTGCAGACCTCATTTACCTTGGCTAAGGTCAGTGTTCATAATTTAACAACAAGAAAGAGACTGTGGGGGGAAAATGGCCTCGGTGGGAGAGTCTGAAAATCACCGCTGACCAAAAATAAGAGCGAGGCCTGTTTTACGTTTGTCATAATCATTGATGATCCTCAGGACTTTCACAGTGCTGTAGGGCTGCCTTGTTTTAACAAGCAAACGCAGTTTAAACAGATCAAAAAGTCTACAGAACAGCAGAAGAGAGAGAGAAAAAAACATCTGCGGCTGGTGGATACTGCTGTATACTGCTGTCCTGAGTCTTTCTTGTAATCTCCTCAAACGGTCTTTAGAGGGAAATTAAATTAACTTAAACACATAATAATAAAGTCTGAGAGCTTGGATGGAAAATTCAAAGTAAACAGGGATAGATTAGAGCTTTTGAATAGGTGAAGTTTTTATTTGTACATCTCCTGGCATGTGTTGTCTAAAAGGAGAACTGGGTTGTTCAGACATTTTCTTTTATCTTCTTAGGCAAGAATTACTAAAAAGCCTGTGAGGAGCCACTGTCTTAGAATTTGTTACAATTTTAGACTGGAGAAATGGATTAAATTCAAACAACAACAAAGAAAATCGATTTACATTACATGAAAGAAGACTCAGAAGCCTGAGTATTTACAAAAAAACAAAACAAAACAAAACAAAAAAAAAACCTTCAAAAAGCCATCGTGTTGTAGCGTGGAAGTCTGACTCAGAACATTACAGCTATGCCTTTTAGTATTGCCATTTCCTACGGTTTATGTAATATTCAGCTTTTGTGATCATCTTGGGCCTCATTGAAATGAATGGAACATCCCATAATTTCTGAACAATTCTGCTAGAAATATTACTAAATACAATACTACTGATGTATTTTTCAAATAACAACTTTGTATTTGGAGAAAATTACAAGTGATCACATAAAAAAATTAAAAAAAATTTCCTCCCTTTTTTTATGCCTTAAAAAAAAAAAAAAATAAATAAAAATCCTGACACAAAGGATCATAATTCATGCATGAAAGGGTTAATAAGAGAAGATAAAGTTATTGGCTGCGTAGGCCAGGAGATGAATTGGTCAACACAAAAACACCAAGTCAGGTTTGGCTTCTATGAAGAGGAATAAAACCCAACGCTGCTGCATTGAACACAACTGTATTATCTCCATTAGTTCGACAAAACATGTATTTTTAAAGTTGCAATATAAAAACTGATAAAGTGAAACATTAAATAAACATATAAATCTCATTCCGAGTCTCTTTGCTGCCAAACAGGAACTAATTAAGGGCCACAAGTCTGAAATAAAAAACACATTTACACATAACATGATTTGTTTCTAATTTTATCCATTGATGCTCTCCAGCCCACCATGACAGCGGTCCAGATTACGCTTTCCCCTCTTCGGTTGTTCCACCTGAACGTAATAAACTGTGTTCCTTTTACAATTCCATGTTCAAAATTCTCTTTTTTTAGGTAAACGCAGGCTTTAGTCTGAACATTTAATGCCATAAAGTCAAGGCTTTATGGTTAAAACGCCACATAAAAAACAAAAAAACAACAAACCCTTCTTTTTTGGGCATGATCTTCTAATTATTGGAAAATCAGAACAATAACAGATGGAAAATGCAATTTGTGCTTCAATAAAATGATTCCTAAAGAGCTGAAAAATGAAAGCCTGGCATAAAATAGACGATCAGCTAAAGAATAAGGCGTCTTTTCCTGTTAAATACTTTTCTGATTTCCTGTTGCATAACCTTCACATATTGTTCTACACTAGCATTTTTTTGTTCCGTCAATTGTTTTAGGAGCACGCAATAACAGCAGCAACAATATCATGGAGACATTTTGCTTTAGAGGCCTGATCGCAACAAGCTGATCACAGCAGACGTTCGGACATGAAGACACAAGGAAATCTGTCCAATTACATAACGTTATGGTTACAGTCCTACGTCTAACCATCGACCCTCCCTGATGTCAAACGCATCTAAATTCTCTCGAGATAGATCAAGGAAAGCATTACCAGGTATGGATGACAGATGGATGAAATGCAATACGTAGTTTATTGGTCAGTCAGTAGTGAAAGCTGGTCCGTACAGGCAATGTTTATGCTTAGAACTGCTTTGATTTTCATAAGAATGGACCAGCAGTGGATGTCAGGATGCCTGACCACAACCAGAGAATTATTGCATGTTTCTTTTTACCGTTCAGTTACTCACAACCATCAGAGTATCCTGTTTGCAGCGTTGACCAGTTGAACACACGACTCACAGAGAGGCTCAGCGCGAATGCCTAGATTACTAATATTTAAAGCCCAAGTGCAGGTGAAGAAAACACTGAGTGTCTATGTGTGTGTGTGTGTACTAATATGTGTTTTATTCCCCCACATTGATGATGCATAATATGCTTACAGAGATGTAATTTGTTTTCTAAATTTAAGTCACAGTGAGATGTTTCACAGTAATCACCGTTTTCTTTTGACCACAGTATGTTTCAGATATTTTAGGCTCTCAGAAAAGTGCCAGAGTAAATTACTATTAGATCTGCACTCCACCGGGCAGCAGGGGGGTGACTCCCATGGATATGCACCGCCGTGGTCTGAAAATGTGACTGTATTATAACTGTACGTCATAGTTATTGGGCTCAGAACTTGATAACACGTATAACTTTTAAAAATGTGTAAAAAGACTTCAATTTTTTTGTACTGAAAAGTTTTGAAAAATCAAACATTTAATTTTGTCAACACATCTGCTGTTAATACTTTGCGCAGCCTCGTTTACCAGTAGTGTCCCTAACATTTCACAAGGATGGAGCAATACATAGAACGATATGGGCATCTCATTCACAAATCCTCTACATCTTACGGACTCTGTTATATATAAGTTGAAACCAGACATTTTACACACACTGTGTCAAAAGACAATCATTCTGAAAGACTGGACTGTCTTTAGGTACAATTCCCAGGTACCTGAAGCTGCCACATTTGTCTTTTCAAAGATTTATGCACAAGAATATCAGCATGGTAATTTTCCGCCATGCTGTTTAGAAAATAGACACAGCTAGTGTGTGTAGAAGCAAAAGAAAAAAAAAAAAATCACAACTGAAACTAAAGGCTTCATCAGTTCTGAACAAGGATGAGAGATTAAACAGAGGCAAGAAAGAAGTCCAATTACTTTCTTAAGTACTTAGGGCTGTCATGCCCTGTGTGACTGAGAATCTACACCTGCGTTAGGCTGGTATATGTCAAATGGATAAAACTACATTTGGGTAGGAACGACATTTTAGTCTTTTGTTCAAATTTTGAAACTCTGAAAGATGAATTGGCACCAAATTGGACTTTATGTTCCTGTGATCTGTTTTTGTTTCAGTGTTGAACTCGGTTTCAAACTCTGAGGAGCACTCAGGACAATAAATCCCAGGCAGTCAGTAAATTCATTAACCATCTTCTATGATGGATCAACACCTAAGGCTACGCCAGCACAGATAATAATTTCAACAGCAGTAATAAATTAAAACTGTCCGCATCTTCCTTCAAAGTTCTGTTTTCACTTTTTTTTTGAACCAATTATTAATAGCAGCAACATCAGTAATATTTACAGAATTTGTCATTTTTTTAAGAGATGTTTCTCAGAGTTCTGTCAGGTTGCAGTGGAAGCTGCTTCTTCCTCTGAGGGTCTTGTCTCGATGTTGCTGACTGTGTTCACTGCCTGGATGACGTGCACCCTGTTCTCCTCCCTCCTCTTCCTCGAGCAGCTGAAAACCTTCTGGAAACCCTTGCGGAAGTGCTTGGAGACGAGTGCGTAGACGATGGGATTGAGGCAAGAGTTGGCGTAGGCTACCAAATGGGAGAGGATGCGCAGGGCGTACGTAGTGTGGTTGAGCGGGAATTGTCCGAACCACATGCAGAGGATGATGAGGTGATGAGGGAGCCAGCAGAGACAGAACAGAGCAGCCACAATCAGGATCATTTTGGTGACTTTCCGCTTGGAACGCCTTGACTCTGACTTGTCCTTGACAGGATCTACGCTGGTCCACAGGTAGCGGATGGTGCGAGCGTATGTGAGGCTGAGCACCAGGACGGGGATGAGGTATCCAAAGATGAAGGTCCACAGGTCCATTATGAAGCGAGGTCTGGGCTTCCAGGCAGGAATACACAGCAAGGTGCCGTCAAGGTCCATCTGAGAGAAGTAGCTAAGGTATGGTGTGGAGAAAACCAAAGCCAAAGACCAAACCAGGCAGATGGAGATGAGGGCGTTCTTTGGAGTCCTCATCTGCCGGGAGCGAAGTGGGTAACATATGGCTAAATACCTGTAGAAACAGAAGAAAGAACTTCTGAAATGGAGGAATGGCTAAGTTGGTGGAGAGGTAAAAGTTTGTGTTTGTTCTCAGAAACTTCAGTCAACCATTGAGTCGATAAAAAGTGACCAAGTCCGAGCTGCTGGAGCCAGATCAGATGTGACGTACAATGCCTCTGGCTAACACGTGATCACGAACCTCAATATTAAGCATTTCTTATTAAACTGAAGTACCTCTCACAATTAGCCATCTGGTTGGGAGGAACAGACTCAGTTTTATGTTGAATCATGACAAGAGACGCTTTCAAAGTCCTAATGAGCCAATTCCATCAAGTAGTTAGGAATTTAATTAAACTACAATTCAATTCAGTTCAATTTATTTATGTTGTACCAATTGAAAACAAATGTCTCAAATATGAAAAAATAAAATAAAATAAATAAAAAGGATCTTATGTAGAGAATTATTACAAAAGGGGATTCAATATCGATGATGGAAGCAGTCATTAAAAAAAAACTGTATAACATTTAACACTCAAGCTACAGTTGCAATTAAAACCTTAAAATGTATTATTTCAACCTGAGATAACACATGAGCAGTGACGCTGGATGCAGCCTGGTCATTGCATCCAGGGTTATTCTGCACCTAGTGCAGTACAAGGGGCTGTTTTACTTTTTACCAGGCTAAACTTTTTGCATGAACTGAAGCTCTTTGGANGAGCTTCCTTTCACANTGATNAAAAAACGAATCATGATAGACCTTTAACATAAAGGTTTGTTCTTAAGGATAAGGTTGTTTTTAAAGCTGTACACACACACACACACACACACACACACAAGAACAGAGCTGATCGTCGTCTTTGGATTTTGTCTGTTTTTCATAATTTGTCAAATTGTCAAGCAAACAACAACAACAATAAGAATAAGAATAAGAATAAATAAGAATAAAAAGATTCCTCAGTATGCCAGATAGGCAGCAGCATCAAAATTTCTGAAACTGAAAAACACAAACTTTCACTGTTGATTAACAACGGAAAGCTTTCACATTTTTATTTTTAGACTGCAATCCGGTTTTATTATTTCCAGCTCCTCTGATGTTCTGCTTCTCCATCCCAGCTGACTGGTATCTCTCTGACCTGAGGACTTTGAACATTTTCCCTCTTTGATGCTCTCAGCTCTCACGCAGGAAGCGAAGGTTATCTGATGCTGTGGGAGTGCTGAGCTGAATACCGGGAGTAAAACTGAGCGTGACGGCGTTTGAGAGTCTGCAGTAGATAGTTTAAGATCGCATTTTTATTGCAGTCTACGTCAACGCCACGTATTTTTACTTAACTTTGTAGTTTTCAGGACTTACGCACGTCATTACGTTTTATTTTATTTCTCTGACTTGCGCCAAAACTAAAACAGTATTCTGCGACAAAACTCGTTAAAACCTAACATTTACAAGAGAACGTGAAAAAAATGTGACACGAGTTGCGCACCTGTCCAGGGAAACGGCGGTCAGTGTGAAGATGCTGGCGTACATGGTCAAGAAGATGATGAAGTGCACGGCTCTGCAAACCACCGGACCAAAGACCCACTGATCCAGGGTGTAGATGGTCGCTTGGAACGGCACGCAGAAAACAATGAAGCAGAGGTCGGCCACCCCCAGACTGAAGATGAACATGTTGGTGGTCTTGGTGCTCATCTGTCCGTTGCGACAAAGAACTGCAAGGACCAGAGAATTCCCCGCGATGCCGAGCAGAAAGATGAGAGAAAATCCCACGGAAATCAGCACGGACTCCGCTTTCCACGCAGAAGAGTTCGTGGAGGACAGATTCATGTTTCTCTTACTATTTTGGTTCAGCTGGTTTGATTTGCGCACAGCTTCGTCGACGCGCGGCTCCAGGAGGCGCACAGCTCATTACGCACTGCACCCAGACCGCAGATCCGAGTGGATTTCGCTTTGATATGCCGTACGCTGCAGAGAGAGAGGCTCCCATCTTCTGATGTTCGAAAGCTGAAGATGTCTGAACAGTTGAGGCGAATGAAAAAGTCAGGTTCAGTCAGACACTGCTCAAATAAACAGGAAATTAGTTCGATATATTAAAAGAAAAGTGCTTAGAAAATACAAACATGTCTAAAATAATATTGAGAAGACAGACATAATAATATACCAACTAAAATTAATGTTAATTAGTCACTTTACTCAAAGAAGTTGTCTACAATGAGCTGGTTTTGCTTTGAAGAAAACTGAGAAATCTGCGGCTTCAGCCTGAATTGATCAATGAGGTAATGCTGCCCTCTTGTGGATAGATTGCATATCTGCACAAACATTAGGGAAATTAATAGTTCCACACTTCGTGAGGCCCGAATACGTTTACAGCTATTTGGAAGTATTGACAATAAGGTGCAGACAAAATTATTTAGAAGAAATAATGAAATAATGAACTAAAAAATATAATGCAGAAAAAATAAGGAAGACGGAGTGAAATCAGAACTGAGAACGCATTATTTTATTTAAACAATTATTTAAGCAATTTTATTGAAACAAACTAAAACCCACTAACCCTACATTTTTTTTAAAAAGGAGAAAATTTATCAGAGTTCACATTTTTCTGAGTCAAAATCTTTCTACATCCACAGAAAAGTGATTTGTGATAAATTACCAAAAAAAAAAAAAAAAATAAAATCAAGAAATATATCTTTAATGACATGTGTTATCACAGTTTTCATAGTTGTATCATTACTCTTAAAATGTGGTATTTTAAAACTTTCTCTTCCCCTTCATGTCTGATTATCACAAGTATTCAAGTTCAAAGAATAATAAAAAAAGAACAAAGTCTTGTAAAATTTGTAGTTGTCATTATTTTTTAGGATTGAGAACAAAAACAAAGAAGAAAAAAAAGAGCACACACCCAAATTACTTCCAGTGCAATTTGAAAATTAAATGCATACAAATTTAAGGTGTTTGACAGAAGTTTGCATGATGTCTCCTTGATGCCCCCTTTGGACATCAGTCTAAAACCTTGCAGAGGGGCCCAGTCATAAAGAACGTTGAAAAGACATTTGTTCTAAATTCTAAATGTTCTAAATTTGCCTTTTTTTATCAAATTGAAACGTTTCAAATCATCAAAAAAATCAGTAAGTCACCATCTGACTGGCTTAAAAAAAGTTCTTGGAGTGTCCTTGTGATGTGGCATGACCTGAAGCAGGCTATTCATGCTTGAAAACTCTCCAATGTAAGTCAAATAAATCTGCTCAGAAAAGTTCGCCAAAATTCATCCACGTCGATGTTAAAAGACTCATTGCAAATGCCTGACGGTATTTCTGTTCCTTCAAATGGTAAGTTACTTTCTCACATATAGGGCCAGCGTTTTTTGGGGAATTTTTACCTGATTGCTAAAAGTCATCTAAAAATGGGTAATATCACAAAAATCAACACTTTCACTGAAGTACTTTATAAACCTTTTGAACCCACTATCACAGACTAAAAAAAAAAAAAAAAAAACACTTTTTATTTCTTCCACCACTTGAAGGTGGAAGAAATTGAATCTTGAATTGTAAATAAATATGTTTACATAGTTAATTAAAATGAGATTTGCAGGTTAGTTTTATAGTTGCCCGAAGGGTTTTCATGTTAGGGAAGTTAATGGAGCTCAGTGAATGTTTGATGTTAAAGCAGAAACACTTAAGAGAAGAATGCAGACTAATCATTAATTTTAATCAGTGATCTAAAACAGTTTCAGTGACATAAACTGAAACACTCAGGGAATAAAATTAATATAAAACATTGTACTTGCCATTTGATTTTGGCCTGAATGTGAATGATGTGCTGGAGGTTAACTGATAGGATTCATTTAACATACACCTTTTATTTTAACAAACTGAACTGAAGCAAAGCTTCTGTTTCCTTCCTGTAGTTGCGAGTGAAAAAGTGAATCATTCTTCAGTGAAGAAATGCGATGAGCTCATTGTGCAGAGCTGCCAATACTCATGAGTAGACTTTTAGTTTACTAACATCACAGCGACTCTTTAATGGGACTTCCAGGATGTTCCATCAGACTGATTCAGAATCTCAGAGGAGGAAACAGAGGGGTTGAGGCAGACGCTTCCTCCTAGAGTTAAAAAAAAAAAAAAAAAAAAAGCAGCTTGACAATTTTAGACTAGGTTGTTTCCATTTGTGCAGCTGTTTGGGTTATTTTGTCCTCATCAGTATGTGATGGTTTTCTGTAAAAGAAATTAGGTCATAGTGGGTGTTTTGGATGGAAACATTTCAGAAATAGACAGCCAGCTGCTGAAGTGCAGCTGCTGGAGGCAGATCAGCCAAATTGTTGACTATATTTACCTGTTTTTTATAGTAAAGAAAAAAAAATAGAACTCAGTTTAGTTTAGATGAGTTAATCCATCGATTTCTCTATATAAAGAATTTTAATAGATTTAAAAATAAGTACATAAATAACACTGAATTTAATTTCAACCTTTTTAGGAATCTACATATTTGTAACTTGAAAATACAAGAAGATTCTAGAGTTGCAGAAAAATGTGAAACGGTCAAATGTAAAGTTGGTTTTCTTCCAGTGGAGTATCAACCATCTCCTTTCATTCTACATGTTGTGTTTTATTTTGTGGCATTCATTCGTGTTTTCACAGCACTCTTGTTGCAAGTTATAATTTGATCAAATCACTGCATCTCTCATTCAGCGAGGAACGAAAGAGCAAATTATACATTACAGTTGGAAGCTGCACACCAGACGTCTGACTTGTTCACATAGAAAGCCCAGCAGGGACCGTTTCATTCATAAGGAAGCGTTCATTTGAGCCACTTGGCTTCCTGTGAAGTAGCTGGCGATCAGCAGGTGGCAGCAGCAGCTCAGACTGGGAGGCTTTAAAACTGTTCCGACCGCCAGGTGTTTGAGTGCATGTCATCCGATGGCGCTCAGAGTTCATTCCCATCTCAGCATCCTCAGACCCGAACACGAGCATCAGCAGCATCAGCAGCCGTCTGAGGTTCACTGAGTCACCGGGTTCGTCCGTGTGTTGGGCCTGCAAGCGTAAAGTTACAGAGTTTTCGCCATAAAGAAACGCAAACAAATGGAACCTGATGAAAGCCTGGGCCAGTTTGCAATTGTTGCAACATTTCGTGAATCGTATTGTTCACCGCCGTGCGGTTTTACACCGTTCAAAGGCCTTTTTGTGATTCCTCTGTATAGCAGGATGCAAATCACTCAGGGGAATAAGATCTAACCTGAGTCATGTTACCTCCTGTGACTACCAACAGAAGGAGCCCTGAGGGAAGGAAATGACATAATTGGTCCGTGCCGATTGGCTTGCAGTTTAGGAATGCTGAAAGCAGCCTGCTGGGTGAGACTGTGAAGCAGACACTGCAGATTGGAAGTGACCACATGTGGGAGTATTTGAAGCTTCATCTGAAGAAATCATTAGCGTGCGTGGAGCAGCAGGTGGAGGCAATGGGCTCTGACCAGGAATTAAGATCGTGGACGGACTGAATGCACCATTTACCTTGCAGCTTCTCCAGGGAAGTGGAAATGTCACCACTGTGCAGCAGAAGAAAAAAAAAAAGAAAGGTTAACTTGCAGGGAGCTGTTAGAACTAATCACCAAAGCATGAGGACATGAACGGTGGCGGCGTTTGATGCGTCTTTCCTACAGGCTACGGCTCGCGGTTCACGATTCCCTCATCAAGCACGACTCCAAACCACAAGTGTCGACACTTCCAAGGAGGCGGGTCAAGACGTGTTGACCTCAAAACATCTGGGGCCTGAGTGGCTAAAAAGACCAAACACCAGAGTGTAAAAAAAAAAAAAAAAATGCTGATAAACCTCCTGTGATCTCACGCACAGACACACACACATACGCACACACACACACACACACACACACGCACACACACTGCCTTGTTTCCTGATGGCCCCACACTTTATAAATAGCTTTCAAAATGAGTGTGTGTCCACTGGATAACGTCAGCGCTTTGGGAGAGGAGTGTTTCATTATGAACTCGTACCATTAAAACTTGCTGGCTGAGACAGAGTTTTGGCTCTTGTGTTCCCTCTCAAACTTTTATGAGCCCGGTTATGATCCTAAATCGATGCAGGAAACCGAGGTGGAGGATTTGGGCTCGGTGAGCAGCGCCATGACCTCAGGAATAAAAGGTACTGCTAGTGATGGAGCTCATTTTCTTACACTTGAACGTGAGACCACACCTCAATAATGTTTTATGCTTCAATAATGGAAAAAATGTGGTAAAATAAAATTGTAAAGGACAATAAAGGATAAAAAATGGAAGCCTAAAACTGATGAAATCCAGGGAAAAAAAAGGACAAAAGAAAAAGTCTGTTTCCTAAATTATTTTGTCAAAGAATCAAATTTTTTATTAGATTAAAGAATCTGCACCATCATCTGGTTATTTCAACAAGATGCAAATAAATGGAGAATTAAAGCTATGCAGGGCTTATTTTTCGCCAGGACAATGAAAAGGTTAACAAGGTTCCGACGCAATCTGAATTTCTACAAGTAAAAACATTTTGCAAAGAAAACGCCACGCATCCGTCTGTCCATCTCTCCGTCTAGTTTGGGTCTCCCTAAACTACCAGTCGGTCGTGGAAGATTATTCCTCGTGCTGAGCCCAGTTCTGCTAGAGGTTTCTTCCTGTAAAAGATGAATCTTTCTTCTCCACTGTCGCTGCATACATGAGGGATGTCTATAAAGTCAAAGACAACACATGCTGTCACTACAAGCTTGTCCAGGAGAAATGAATACTGCAAGTCGACAACTTGATGCAGGGTTTCCTAAAATGGAAACTTGAATAATCAACTGAACTTGATGAACTCTTTGTGATAACTACGATCAATTAAAATGCATTTTTGATTTAATTGAAATCACTTTTTTTGTGTCAATTTATTGTGAATTGGTGGTACAAAGTTATCATTCCTGTTTTTTATTTTTTTTTTGGCACTGGATGTTTCATCTTCAATCTCACTATAGAAATATTTTCAACAGTTCAACAGTTAACTTTTGTCTTTGCACTTTAAAAATGGGACTCAAAACAACTGCGAAAGAATCAAAATTAGTCTGCAACATTATGAACTTTTGACATGCGCACGAGTAGGAAACTTACAACACCCTCAAAGTCCTTAGCTGTAACATTAAGATCCTGAAGCTTAGCCAAAAGAAAACAAACAACAAAAAAAAACAACTCAAAGCTATCTCCAACCATCCAACTGTTTGCAGGTCAAACCTGTCTGCTCAGATGAAATCACATCAGAAGACGAGAGTGTCTGCAGCAGAGCTCCGAGGTCAAAAAGTCAGAACCTGCAGGTGCTTCACTGATCTGGGAGAGGACGTTAGAAAGGGAAAGCAGAGAAAAAGCTGTGAGTGAACCACAATCACGCAAGCTGCGTGTGGTTTCCAGCTCCTTGCCACGACCTCTCACTCTCTGCATCCCAGACTTTCTCCGT